CCCCCCCCAACTATGTAAAAAAAGATATGGGCAGAAAGCGGTCAGAAAACACTCCCCACCCTAAAATAAAAATTTTCTTTTCTTTTTTGAGTACAAAATTTACAGCACTTGCAACACAATTAAGCAGAAGTGTAGAAGATTAGAGGTGTTACAATAGAGTAACAAACACAAAAAAGAAGTAGGACAGAAATATGGACGATAATTGTTTGATAGGAAAGAAGGAGCAAACCACACCAGAGCACCCACCAACCACCCACTCGGTATTTTTAAGGAAGATCAAATTCAAAATTGACTTCCAACAAGAAATCAGTTGTCAAACAAACACCAGCTTTTTCAATCACCTAATTTCAAATATCAATGTTAGAAGCAACAGCATCTTATGAAAGAAATGAGTAAAACAAATACATAGTTTTACCTGCACTTCGTAGGAACGCAGATGCTGAGCCAAAGACTGTGTAGCTGCACATAATTCATTCTGCAACAAATAGAGGAAGTGTGTGAGTTTGCGTGCAGAAAAAGAATGACAGACAAAAAAAACCCCAACAATAAACTCATGCAGAATTATTATTATTTCCTACCTCATGAACCAGACTTCAAACGATCACACTATTTTCAGCACTGCATTTTTCCTAACATTCCTGAGCCTGATCATTTTCTCACAGCAGTCTTGTAGGTGTCAATGAACTTTGCATAGTCAATCAAAAAGCATGTAAAGCAAAAACCGTCTTCAAATAGCCTCAACAAACTATAGACATGCAGAGCAAAGAAGTGTGGCGAACATTTGAATCTGCCTCATATTGATAAGGAATCCCAGACAATGAAAATGAGGAAAAAGAAAATATTAAATACAGGGACAAAATGACAACAATAGACTGATGATAATAAAAGTAAAATAGCAAAGAAACAAAAATGAGAATATTGAACATATCATTTAACTGTTAGAAACACAATCTTTTTTCATGATAATACAAGGCAACCTATTGCAGTTTCCTTTTCTTTACCAGTACTTTCATATATGGTCCCTTTTAACAACAAGTGGGCTATCCTGAAAAATGCTGTTACGAGAAAATCGAAGGTAAAGTATTTGCCCCTTGTTCATTTTCATTTTAAAAAATAAGGAGAGTTTTCACTATAACCAAACAAATATACACACCAATGAAACCAAACTTTTCCTATAGGTAGGGCAATGCCCATTTTTAGTGTAGGTCAAGGTTTCGGGAGTAAATCTGGGTTAGCCCCTTTCTCCTTAAAAGCGAACATATATCCTGTGAGATGAAATTTTCTGACCTGGCACTTTGATCACAAATTCAATTGAATTGGAATTATAATCCAATAAAAAAAATCATGTTAAAATTTTTTTTAAAAATCCCCTTTCCCAAAATTTTCCCGAAATGTTATACCCTTCAATATCTGAGTAGCTCTTTGATTTCATAGGCAACATTTTCAATTTAAGGGAAGACTTACCTGGGCAGTCATTATCCGCTGACAACAATTGTGCATATTATTCGTAAACTTTTTTAACAGTATTGAGTCCTTCTCAAATACTGTTAAAAGATGACGAGTCTGGAAAAAAACGGATAAAAATAATTTACGAGAAACTCCAAGTAATCAAGTCAGCCTGTCAAAAACTTCCAATCTATGATTTAAATTTTTTTTAATGACTTTGAAATGCAATGGATAGAGAGGAATGTCCTCAGGTAGAAATAAGTTTCTTAACAGTGCACATAAACACTTAATTTTTTTCTTGCTACACTTCAAGTTTAAATACTTTTGCGTCGGTGGCTGTTGATTGCACCATTGACGAGGGAATTGTAAGCATTTTTTTTTCCTGCCTCGTGATGAACTTCTGTTCTTGTTTAGTTAGATCTCGTGTAAATGATATGGTGTGCGTGGCTGTTGTTTTTTGTTGTTGTTGATGTTATTGTTGGTTTGTATTTCATTAGCTTTCTTGTTGCTGATTTTGTGCCATGGTAAAATAAAACTGTGTCAGACAGGGAAGGCCGAGTGCCATGGTAAAACAAACACATGGGTCGCCACCGCTCGGAGAACAAGCGATGCTTCTGTCACAAGTTCATGTTGACGTTCATTGCTATTTTGTTACAGACTGAGAAAGCAGTGACAACTCATCTCACTTATATTATGTTGAGTTGTGGGTGGGGCTTTTATGGGTTACGAGGGATCAAACACTTACATCACCAGCAACTGAAAATTTATTGTTACCTATTGGTCAACAGTGGGAAGGGCCTTGGCAACAGGATTGGTTGGAAGGACTACCTAACAATAATGACAGGTGATAGTGGATTATGACTGTTTGTCCACCGTGTCAGGGGTCAATTAATTTATGACAAAATTCAGGGCATTTGAGAGAAGTGGCTGTCTAAGACAACTTGTTTTATTGGTTGGTGTGTGATAAAATATGGTGGCCGTGGCCTTGTTGAACAGAAGACCCTTTTATACAGTGAAATCATATAGTATAGCAAAAACTCAAGGGGGGAAATAAGGTGACCCTGTGTACAGGTAGCCGTCATGGAAGGTTCGACTGAACATGTAATGTCATGTACACATTTTAATGTTATTTTAATATATAATTATATTAGCTCTCTGAGATAGCCCTTACAAATGGTATGAACAAAAAGTGAAAAAGAAGGTCCCCCCAACTTCAAAAACCAAAAGTTGAGACAGGATATTATTGTGAAAAGATGACCGAAAGAAGTGGTGGGGGTGCGAGTGTGTGCAGCAGCGGACAAAAACGATAAAATTTTGATACAATTCTGAACATTAAAAGTCCTTGCCCCCACTATTTTCCACATAATATAATTTGATGTTTTGCAATTAGGTTCGAAATTTTCTTGAAAATTTCAGAAAATAGTTTTAAAAGCCTTTATATCTAATTAGTTATGAGAGTTTTAGTGGTCATGACCTGCAGCAGAAAAATACTGTAATAGTTTGACCCCCAAAGCAATGCATCTCTGTGTGTGGGAGTGAAAGTAAAAATTCACTCATGATGATAAATTCAGATGGGTTCCAATATTATATCTTTTTTAATACTGCCTCAAGAGTCCTTAGATCTTCTATATTACATAATGTCAAACATTTACTTTTGAATTGCCATGGTTTTAAATTTAGTCAATTTCATTCAATCAGTCCAAGAAACATAATAAAATAACGAATTCATCATATCATATATATATATATATATATATATATATATAAATATATATATATACATAGGCCCTAGTTATAGCAAAGTGAAACGGGTCCAATGGGGCAAATTTTCCTGTAATTGTTTCTTAATGCCAATCAAGTTTAGGCTCAGACTCAGAGGCAACAGGCCCATAAGCTATTAGCCCATTGAATCTATTTTATGCACTGAATTGTTGTTACAAGGCAAGACAAGGGGTGGGGGCACAGAGCTAAAAGTCTAATACGGGGGAGCCTTTACGGATGGGATCGGCGGGTCGGGCTCGGTCGCCTCAATACACACGTATTTGTTTTCAATTTCAGGCGACCGAGTCGGGCGATCGGCCCGACCCAGCCGTAATGGGCACCCTGCATTACACTACAACAAAAGGGAGGATTTCCGTAACAAGCGACCACTATGAGACAGAGTAGAATAGAGAGGGCCAGGGGTAGGGGTAGGGCGGGGAAGGTTAGGGCTATCTCTATGTCTCTTTATTGCGTTGGTTGGGGTGGTCACTCCTTGCGGAAGTCCTTCTCAACAAAAGATAGATCTAGATCTAGCTCTTAGTCAGCCTTAGGGAACTTAGGCAGGCTTAAGAACCTTTTGTGGATGCTGCCATGGCCTGGGGCCATGATGAGCTTGTACAATGTCAAATTTGACCTGCAAAGAAAAAGGGAGTGTATACAGACCTGGTAACCGGGTACAAAGTCACAAAGTATACAGACCCGGTAGGGGAACTCTTTTGTGATTTCGGAAAGTTTCAGCGCCCTCTTGGCTCAGGGTAGACCTAGGTTCTTCTAGATCTATGGCCTAAGTCTAGATCTAGATCTAGACAGACAGACATAAATCATTGATCTAGTTTCGAGGTTAGCCTAGATCTAGATCTAAATGAAGACTGCGGATGTCTTTTCGCAGAACGATCGTTTTTCCTCCGTTTTTGGAGTTGGAGGAAACACAATTTGAAGAAAAGAACAATGTCATAATTTCAATTGAGCAGTCATCCCCTCTCTCTCTCTCCCTCTCTCTCTCTCCTCTGTCTCTGTGTATTGCTTACATCTCTTTTTCTTTGTTTGTCTCTGTCTTTCTTTCTCCCCACCTATTTCCCACTCTATCTTTCTCTCGTTCCCTCCTGTCAACTGGGGCATGTCATCTAGCACTTCCCCCTGCTCTCTCTTCTCTCTCTCTCTCTCCCTCTCTCTCTCTCTCTCTCACACACACACACACACACACCACACACTACCGGGTATGGGTGCTGAAACTTTCCGACATCACAAAAGAGTTCCCCTACCGGGTCAGTATACTTCGTGACTTTGTTCTCGGAAAGAAAATCAGCAATGGGGGAGGGGATGACACCACCCATCAGGCAGGCAACTAACAACACTAATAATGACCGAAAAAGGAGGGGGGGGGGGTGAGGGGGGCAGTCAGTGTCAGTGACTGAGATTGAGTGAGAGAGAGAGAGAGAGAGAGAGAGAGAGAGAGAGAGAGAGAGAGAGAGAGAGAGAGGGGGGGGGGGGGGGGTTATTGAGTTAGATCTAGATTCTAGAATCTAGATCTAGATCTAGAAGTGCACCACAAATTGAAATTTACAACAAAGTCAAACTCAAAGTATACTAATTGTATAGACATATATCTAGATCTAGATCTAGATAGTAGTATAGTTAATAGTAGTAGTGTTACGTAGCCTACAGTACAGCCTACATGGTGGACCCCCTGTGCATTATATGATACGTGCACTCAAAGTATTATTTGATTGTCGCACTTGAGTCTCCATTGCCCAACCAAAGCCGAAACTCAACTTCTTGAGGCAGGTCATAATTACTCTAGAATCTAGATCTAGATTCTAGCCTAATCATGAGATCTAAATTGCTCATTGACCCATTGCCATTGCCATTGCTTTTACTCGACTTACCTGAGGGCTATCTTCCAAAGCATCCTCAAGATGCAGCTGTTCCACTTCTGGTCCTAACATGATGGGAATCTCTTCTTTGATAATACCACTAGGATTAATAAAAAGATACTGTTATCCAACAATACCCAAGCAATTGGGCTAAATGCCCAAAATCAGCTGTGTTCCGGTACACCCGTAGACAAATTCCATACAATTTACACACCCTTCGTAGCAGACCAATGAAATTAATAGCCAGGTTTTCGTGAGAAAGGAGTTAAAAACCTATCACGCTCCGACTTCCAGCAAAAATTTAGCCTAGTTCAACTTTGTGCCTGAAACGGAAAGTCATCAACTCTTCTCGATCTTGAGATAACCTTTTAAATTTTAAATGTATGAAATTTATTATAGAATCTAGTTATTTACTTAGCTTTTTCCTCTAGTAGAATCAAATAGGCTTTTTCTTTATTAATGTATTATATTTATAGAGACATATCGTATCTCGCTATAACTTTATCAAAAAATGAAATGCATTGTTATCGATTTATTGACATGTATTAGATACGTGTTTAACCTCATTGTTATTATTATTCATATTAATTGAATTTGCCAAGACCTCAAAAGAGATTCGTGGATTTCTTGGCAACCCAACCACCTACAAATTTGGATTAATCACGGATTGTTGTGAAGATAAACGAGCACCATCATTGGTTGAAAATGATACACTGGATATTCGTAATCAGTTCATTAGAAAATAATATACTCTGATTAACATATTTAGGAATGTGTATGTAAGTAAGATAAATCATCTGAAGAACAGTATTTACCACTTTGAAACAAAAAACAAATTAATAAAATAGCGAAAACAGTAAAAAGAATAATATTTTCATTAGAAAGTACGACGGTACGGAACCAGATGCCGGATGTATCTACTTTTACTTCTTCGAAAATGAAAGTAGCTTCAAATTGGAACGAAACAGCTGATGATCGATGTTGGTGAATTCTTAGTTCAACTACCTTTTTCGGTTAATTACTTCCTTCTGAATCCTCCATTCGGTATTTTTTTACTTTCCCGGTAGACATTTTATTCCGCGATCTACATTCTAACACCAGGGGACACAGCCTAAAATTGAAAAAAACAAAAACATGTGAAAACACCAGTCCGCCAAAAACTTCTTCAGTGTACGCACAGTTAACGCTTGGAATTCCCTACCGGAAAATGTGGTGTCTGCACCATCCTTGAATGCTTTCAAGAATATGATTGACATGGTCTGGAAGGCACATAAATTCTCCATGAACCTAGATTGGTTTCAAATTGCCAGAATCATGAGCCATGAGCACCAACCTGCAGATAACAGAGTGTGAAAACAACGAGCAGGAAGGAACAAGCAATGATACGAGTCGAGATATTTGTGATTGAAGGGGGTTGAGTTGCCTCATGGTTTCAGAAGTAAAGTAGAGCCTGTGAAAACTGAAAATGTTACATCTTTTATGCCTTTAATCTACGTTTTTAAGTAAAATTCACACTAAAATGTGTTTTTAATGGACGGGCTTAAAAGGTTTTGAGTCGAAAAACAAGAATTCAATAAGATTTCCAAACCTGTGGAAAAATGCCAGTTTCTTCACGTTTCATTATTTTGACGAGTGCCTAATTTCACCACGCTGCCTCACATATATGGTCACTAAAACCCTTGTTTATCAATTGTTTTCAAGTAAATAATCCTAATTGCTGAAACATCAAATCATGGTGATGGAAGGGGGCATTGCCCCCCCCCCCTTAATATTGTTTCTTTCACAGTATTTTGTGGATTTTCGTTGAATAAGAATAATATCAGTTTTTTGTTTCTGCAATCACTCAAACATCACGAAGACTGCTATGCTTAATAATATAAAGCATTTTGTATAGCGTACATTCACGTTCAACAACAAGCTCTTTGGGCTTTAAAATCTATTATCATTACCCCTGCAGACCTGA